TCTCTCTCTCCCTCTCTCTCTCCCTCTCTCCTCTCTCTGGCTTGCTCCCTTGCAGGTTTAGCCGGTTCTCTCCCTCCCCCCCTCCTCTCTCTCTCTCTCTCTCTCTCTCCTCCTCTCTCTCCCTCTCTCTCTCTCTCTCCCCTCTCTCTCTCTCTCTTCTCTCTCTCCCTCTCTCTCTCTCCCTCTCTCTCTCTCTCCCCCTCTCTCTCTCTGGCTTGCTCCCTTGCAGTTTAGCCGGTTCTCTCCCTCCCCCCTCCCCTCTCTCTCTCCTCTCTCTCTCATCTCTTCTCTCTCTCTCTCTCTCTCTCCTCTCTCTTCTCTCTCTCCTCTCTCTCTCTCTCTCTCTCTCTCTCTCTTTCTCTCCCCTCTCTCTCCCTCTCTCTCCCTCTCTCTCCCTCTCTCTCCCTCTCTCTCCCTCTCTCTCCTCTCTCTCCCTCTCTCTCTCTCCTCTCCTCTCTCTCTGGCTTGCTCCCTTGCAGGTTAGCCGGTCATCCTCCCTCCCCCCATCCCTCTCTCTCTCTCTCTCTCTCTCTCTCCCTCTCTCTCTCCTCCTCTCTCTCCTCTCTCTCTCTCTCTCCCCTCCTTCATCTCTCTCTCTCTCTCTCTCTTCCTCTCTCTCCCTCTCTCCTCCCTCTCTCTCTCCTCTCTCTCCCTCTCTCTCCCTCTCTCTCCCTCTCTCTCCCTCTCTCTCCTCTCTCTCCCTCTCTCTCCCTCTCTCTCCCTCTCTCTCTGGCTTGCTTCCTTGCAGGTTTAGCCGGTTCTTCTCCCTCCCCCCCTCCCTCCCTCCTCTTTCTCTCTCTCTCTCTCTGTGTCTCTGTCTGTCTGTCTGTCTGTCTGTCTGTCTGGCTGGCTGTCTGTCTGTCTGTCTCTCTCTTTCTCTCCCTCTCTCTCTCTCTGGCTTGCTCCCTTGCAGGTCTAGCCGGTTCGACCGTCTACCCGTTTCCTGACCCCGGATGTTCCAGCTACACCGGCGGAAACTCACTCTCTCACTCCCTTCACTCTCTCTCTCTCTCTCTCTATCTCTCCCACTATCTCCTTATCTCTCTCTCTCTCTCTCTCTCTCTCTGTTGCTTTCTGTCTATCTATCTTTCTATCTCTGTCTTTTATCCTTCTTTCTCTCTCACTTCCTCTCGCACTCTGGATCTCTGTTTTCTTTTTTTTTTTCGTTGTTTTTTTCTCTTGCTCTCGTTCTCTGGTCATCGTGGTCTACCTTCTAAACTTTCTCTCTCTATGTCTTTCTGCTCCCGGTCTTTTCTTTTCTTTTTTTTTTGTCTTGCTTTCGTTCGCAGTATTTCCTTGTTTCCTCACTCTCCTTGTCTTTCTCCCTCTTATTCTTTATCTTCATTTTTTTCCTCTCTCATGCTTTCGGTCTCTGTTTTATGCTGCCTTTTTCTTCATCCCTCTCTCTCTCCGTCTCTTTGTTAATTTATTTGCTTGTTTCATTTTTTCGTTCCCTTTTCTTTCTCTCTCTCACTCTCTCCCTTCTCTCTTTCCTTCTCGTTCCCACCTCCAATCCTTCCCCTCTCTCTTTCCCTCTTCCCCACCCCTCTCCGTCCCCTCTCCCTCTCCCTCTTCCCCACCCCTCTCCCTCCCCTCTCCCTTTCCCTCTTCCCCACCCCTCTCCTTCCCCTCTCTTTTTCCCTCCTCCCCACCCCTCTCCCTCCCCTCTCTCTTTCCCTCTTCCCCACCCCTCTCTCTCCCCTCTCTCTTTCCCTCTTCCCCACTCCTCTCCCTCCCCTCTCCCTTACCCTCTTCCCCACCCCTCTCCCTCCCCTCTCTCTTTACCTCTTCCCCACCTCCTCTCCCTCCCCTCTCTCTTTCCCTCTTCCCCACCCCTCTCCATCCCCTCTCTCTTTCCCTCTTCCCCACCCCTCTCCCTCTCCCTCTTCCCCACCCCTCTCCCTCCCCTCTCTCTTTCCCTCTTCTCCACCCCTCTCCCTCCCCTCTCCCTCTCCCTCTTCCCCACCCCTCTCCCTCCCCTCTCCCTTTCCCTCTTCCCCCCCTCTCCCTCCCCTCCCCCTTTCCCTCCCCCCCCCTCTCCCTCCTGCATAACCCGAGCCCAGAAGCAGAGAGGCGAGACTCCACAGCCATATCCAATAACCAAGCGTCTCCCGCGACTTGCTCCAGACAACGCTATCATACTGATGGAGCAAAACGCACCAAACTTTATGTACCACACAGCAATTACTTGATTGTAATCAAAGACGAAGGGAAGTTTGCAGTTTGTTTTCTTGGGCACCTTTTGTCACTGTACTTGCCAAGCCACTTCGCGGAGTTTGGCGCTGGTGTGCCATCGCCCTGACCTTTATGTCCTGGTGCGCTCGCTGCTGCTGGACGTCGCGGTCGTCAAATGCAAACGCACACGCACGCACACATAAAAAATACACATTATATACATATACATACACACACACATACACACAATATATATATATATATATATATATATATATATATATATATATATATATATATATATATATATATATATATATGTGTGTGTGTGTGTGTGTGTGTGTGTGTGTGTGTGTGTGTGTGTGAGAGAGAGAGAGAGAGAGAGAGAGAGAGAGAGAGAGAGAGAGAAAGAAGATCTCTGTCTCTTTACCTATACATGAGTATGTGCATGCGTTCATCTGACTGTATGTGTATAAGCTTCCAACATTCGAATTCATATCATCATATACTGTAATTCCATATACTTTCAATCAGATAAATTTACATAATTACATGTAATATGAAGTAATATCAAGGGACATGAGGCTTTGAAGATATGACTACATGATTATAAAGGTAACTACATACATACATACATACACACACATACAGACACACACACAGACACACACACACACAGACACACACAGACACAGACACACACAGACACAGACACACACACACACACACACACATACACACACAGACACAGACACACACACACACACACACACATACATACACACGCGCACACACACACACACACACACACACACGCACACACACACACACGCACATACACGCACGCACACACGCGTATGTGTGTATATATATATGTGTATATATATATATATATATATATATATATATATATATATATATATATACATATATATATACATATAATAGGATTATATATGCATGTATGTATACGCGTGAGTATTCATATCATTTTCCGCAAGGAAAATTATGTTTAATTTATGATAGATATTTCACGTAAAAATGCACTTGCAAGTAAAAAATTATACGCCGACCTCTAGTTCAAACTGAATTCATACATGTGAAATCAAGCCCACTTGGCATAAAAAAGCGGAATGCTTTTCATATCAAACTTTCACCATAACAACCCCAAGGGCCTACATAATGCAAAACGAATATATGTATAAACTTCTTAGAAAATTCAGATTGTGTTAGCTTTTTTTCCCTAAGCCGGGATTAATTCGCGAGATATATTTTTGTTCTTATTACGTGGCCTTTATGCAACGGAAATATAAAGAAAAGGTGATGAAATGGTGACGAAGAGAGTAGAAGAAAACGATAATAACAATGTCTTTCAGAAAATCCTTAGGATCGACCAAATAACTTCACACGAAAAAAAAAGAAAAAAAAAAAAATCAAACATCTAAATGGAAATCGCTTCGGCATCGTCAAGAAATCGGAGCAACGGCCAAGAAATTTGTAAATAAATCTAGCTCAGTAAAGAAGGATGGTTGAGGATCTGGCAGGAGTGTGATCGGAGGAGGGAGAGGAGGAGGAGGAGGAGGGAGAGGAGGAGGAGGAGGAGGGAGAGGAGGTGGAGGAGGAGGAGGAGGAGGAGGGGGGAGGAGGAGGAGGAGGGAGAGGAGGAGGAGGAGGGAGGGGGAGGGGGAGGAAGAGGAGGAGGAGGAGAGGAGGGAGAGGAGGAGGAGGAGGAGGAGGAGGAGGAGGGGGAGGGAGAGGAGGTGGAGGAGGAGGGAGAGGAGGAGGAGGAGGAGGGAGAGGAGGAGGAGGAGGAGGAGGAGGAGGAGGGGGAGGGAGAGGAGGTGGAGGAGGAGGAGGAGGAGGAGGGGGAGGAGGAGGAGGAGGGAGAGGAGGAGGAGGAGGGAGGGGGAGGGGGAGGAAGAGGAGGAGGAGGAGAGGAGGGAGAGGAGGAGGAGGAGGAGGATGGAGAGGAGGAGGAGGAGGAGGAGGAGGAGGAGGAGGAGGAGGAGGAGGGAGAGAAGGAGAGGGAGAGGAGGAAGAGGAAGGAAAGGAGGAGGAGGAGGAGAGGAGGAGGAGGAGAGGAGGAGGAGGTGGAGAGGAGGAGGAGGAGGAGGAGGAGGAGGAGGAGGAGGAGGAGGAGGAGGAGGGAGAGGAGGAGGAGGAGGTGGAGAGAAGGAGGAGGAGGAGGAGGAGGAGGAGGAGGAGGAGGAAGAGAAGGAGGAGGAAGACGACAACGACAACGACGACGAAGACAAAGACAAGGACGAGGACGAGGATCTATCGCTGGGAGCTGCGCGTTTCACACTTTCCCAAACTCATTTCTCTGTGATTTCTTTAGTTTCATAACAACTACGGAGACAGGGTGTAGAGTCATCAATTCCCGCACTCGAGCGTCTTGTTAATTAACAATCCCGCATGTAATTCTAGGAAATACATTTAAATATATATATACATATATATATATATATATATATATATATATATATATATATATATATATATATATATATATATATAGAGAGAGAGAGAGAGAGAGAGAGAGAGAGAGAGAGAGAGAGAGAGAGAGAGAGAGAGAGAGAGAGAGAGACATATACATAAACAAATGTATATATCAATACATCCACCAAACGAAGCACACACGTAAGTATGCATGTATAAAGTAGCTCATCCACAAGGCAAAAACTGCCAGCCGGAATGGCGCGGGAAGAAGCCACGCGCCGCTAACGGAGAGCGACACGAATGCATTTTGGTCATTATCTTTTGGCAGAGGTTCCACGGAGGCCGTTGGCTTCACCCTGGAGGCCTCTCTGGCGCCTTCAAAACCT